TGCGTGGATAGGAGGCACTCGCACACAGAACCAGCCATAAGTAGCTTGCGCTGTGCGGATTGCTTAAACAACCAGGAGCATGAAAGAGAGCGAGTATACCAAGAAAGGCTGAAGATTTTCACTTATTACTGCTTATATTGCTCAACTCCTAAAGAACACACTTTTGATACAAGAGCTGTTCAAAATCTTAAGAATTGCAAAAACGTACATAGAGAATGTGGAAATGACTTTCTCAAGTCATTGGGTGGTCCATCCAAAAGTGTCTCTGGCTTTGTCGGCCACCATTTCAGCGATGGCGAGCGAGGAGGTTGCAGCCGGAGATGGGGCGTTGCGGACGTGGAGGATCCTCCGGCCCATCTCCCCCTCTCCCTGAGCGAAGACAAAGTCTTCTATCAGTCGGCCGTCGGTGTCCATTGCTTGGGCTCTAACTCCTGTCGGTCCTCTGGAGGAGAGAGTCGGGGGGAGGGAGAGTCATGGGGATAACAGAAGGATGTGTAAACTATGTATAATATATACATGTATATATGAACAATACACGTCTTGCACTACATTATGTGTATTGACCTTGGTGAGAGTTATAGAAGCTTCCAAGTTTGTATTTTACCACGATCTTTATGGGCAGGGAACTACATGTACATACATACATATTATAGATGTACATGGTTGAATGTGCTGTTTACCACGATCTTTATGGGCAGGGAACTACATGTACATACATACATATTATTATATAGATGTACATGGTTGAATGTGCTGTTTACCACGATCTTTATGGGCAGGGAACTACATGTACATACATACATATTATTATATAGATGTACATGGTTGAATGTGCTGTTTACCACGATCTTTATGGGCAGGGAACTACATGTACATACATACATATTATTATATAGATGTACATGGTTGAATGTGCTGTTTACCACGATCTTTATGGGCAGGAACTACATGTACATACATACATATTATTATATAGATGTAACATGGTGAATGGTGCTGTTTACCAAGATCTTTATGGGCAGGGAACTACATGTACATACATACATATTATTATATAGATGTACATGGTTGAACGTGCTGTTCACAAGTAAAAGGGACTGTACTGGCACAGGTAAATTACTTTTTTGACGTCAATGAGAGTAGAGAGAGAGTGAGAGGGGTGGGGTAAGTCTGGAGGTGTTCTCACCTGGTGACGTCGCTCGGCTGCAGTTCAGGGACGAACCTCTGTAGCTGTCTGACCTGAGCCGCCAGCAGTAGACTCCGGAGAGCCTCCTGTGTCCCCAGTCTCCAGTACCTCATCACCAGCTTCCTCAGACCTCTGTGGACACACATCATCAGTGAACCACACACACCACGCTTTACGACAAACACACACACACTACTTGAGAGAAACTCCAAAATTGAGTGCCACAGTTAAAAGTAGCTAGCTATACACTGTATTCTGGCAGACTTTTTAGCAGATGAAGGCTAATGACCTAAATCATGGATATACAGTAGAGCAAGTAAACTGTATATAGTGGTGGGCATACTTACGTTGACACACTGGACTTACCTTATCTCCATTCATACATGTGCATGCACCACGCACCTTCTTCATGCAGTAAAATAGACAGAAAATGCTCTATATTTGGCACTCCTCCACTCCTCCACTACTGTAAATACCTGAATCTCAGTATTTCCTTGAAGTCCTCCCAGTTGAAGTCGGTGGCAGAGTAGCCCTCTCTTGCCAGAGCCAGTACGGCGTTGGGCCCAAGCCACACCTCACCGTCCATACGAGGAGTGAAGTGGACACCCAGGAATGGGAACTGGGGATCCGGGACCTGCAGAATCGGGTATGGAATACGGGACCTGCAGAATCGGGTATGGACTACGGGACCTGCAGAATCGGGTATGGACTACGGGACCTGCAGAATTGGGTATGGAATACGGGACCTGCAGAATCAGGTATGGAATACGGGACCTGTTTTGTGGTGCAGTGTGTACCGTAGTGGAAGATAGGACAGTGAAATAGAGGTTGCTCTACACTTTGACTATATACACATCTCTACTCTCGTTGCCAAGACAAAAAAGGACACCCCTCTAAAAACAGTTCTTGAATGCAATCTCTTATATACCCCACTAATATCGACATTTTCATCTGTCAAATTGGTATCCACGTTACGCAACTCTTTGACTCACAGGGTATATATTCCCACGGACGAGATGACTCTTCTCAGGTCGAAGGAGGAGGTATTCCCCACGGAACGGGACGATTCGTGGTTCGGGGGAGCAGCCCGAGAGGACGGCCACCCGATCGGAGTAGAGACCACAGCAGGCTATGACGTGCTGTGACGTCAGCGCAGGCTGTAGACAGATAGAGAGATAGGGGGTAAAGAAAGAACAGCCTTGTTACCTGGCGCCCCAAAACGCAGTAGAGGAAAAGGCTAGTTGCACACACACACACACACACACAAATATATATACACGTATAGCTGGGTGTGGTATAGTGCCTATTCAAACCTTGTGTATGTCAGGGTGGGGGCAAAGATCAACTGATGGGCTCACATAGTACTTTACCAGTGAGTAAATAATGGTTTGTTCAGGGTGCATTGAACCTTTGCCCCTTCACTTCTACATATTATACCGTAATTTTTTTACCTTTCCTGCAGCTTCTGTCACCACATTGTACTGCTCTGAACCTGAATGGTGTAAAATTTGGAGAGGTAACCCATCAAAAATTACGAACTCCCTCAAAAGCAACACACCTCTCCTCAAGGTCTTGTTCACCGAGAATCGGTTCACCTTCGAAAGAAAATGAGACAATATCAGAGGCCCATGTTTTGTTCAGTAATTATAGTCAAAAGTCAAAAGTTTTGCGACTCTTTAAGTTTGTGAGTTGTCTGCGGAAGTTTCTGGTGGTAGGGACACTGCGCACAACAAGCAGCATTTCTCCAATTTGCCATATTGATTCACGAATGTTAAATAGCGTGTGGATTGTATATACCTACCTTGAAGTTGGTATATACGTGTCCACCCATTTCCTTGAAATCTTCTCCGTACGCCCGTGTCACACGTCCCCAGTCCACGATACCGGTACTGGGAGAATGGATCGCCACCTTTCCCTGAAACACAACACCCACATACTCAACACTACAATACAGGAGATATGTACGTTCAGTAGAACCGTACCCAGATTTATCGATTCGTGTACGACACCCATTCACAAAAGGCACCATTTACACACTCAATATTGGAGCCCGTCATGTGTAGTAGGAAAGTCTTTCCCCTATAGTATCCAGGCTCTCTCCCTCACTCTGCAGTGTGGCTCAATGTCTCTGAGTTGTGTTGAGTCCAGCAGCCTCAGATCGGCCACTCCGTTCTCCCTCCCTCTGTCGTAGAGACTCTGCAGTCTTGGAACCTCTTCATTCTCCACCGCCACTATCAACTGCACACAGTACATACAAGCGTTTGCCTATAACACACGAGGCTAGACACTTCACGTATACACAACACACTCAATATTGCTTGAAACAAACTATATTTACCCTTCTAAGATTCCCTTATTCAAACATGTTTATCCCAATTCAGTACTGTGCTGAGTGCTTTACTCTATGCATGTCACATGCACTTTTGGCTTACGCGCTTACATCACACATGTACACACATACGTACCTTATTACGTAGAGCTGGAGAGTGTGTGTTATATATACCTTGCCACACTTTCTGTAAGGTATCCTCTTCTTGTCGCAGTATTCGTAGGCCATTTTGATGCCTCTCACGCAGAGCCTTGCCTTCAGAGACCCCGAGGTGTAGTAGATGCCGGTGTGAAGGACACCGCTGTTGTGACCCGACTGATGGAGTGCTGGAGGGAGGTGGAGGGAGGGGGAGGGAGGGGAGACAAGAAGAGAGGAGGAGGAGGGAGAGAATAGGGAAGGAAAAGAAGGGAGGAAAACGAGACGAAACGAGAGGCAGACGTAAACAGAGGGAGTATAGAGAGAGGAGAAAAAAGTGTAAATAAACGAAATCTTACCGACATCATTTTCTTTCTCTGCAACGGCAATCTTCATGTTGGGGTACCTGGTGGCCACCTCTCTAGCAGTGGCTAGTCCCACAATACCTCCCCCCACCACTACCAGATCATAGTGGTTACCCTCATTGCTGCTGGACACACTGTCATACGAAACATAAGCTCCGTACCACTTCGCAAGCTAGAGATATTTACCTGTAGGTTCTTAGCAGGCCTTGAAGTGGCGGGAGAGCTGGTTTTAATCTTGTCCAGACGCTAACAGAAGCCATGCCACACCAACCAAAAGTAGGGGAGAAGGCTCGGTCAAAGGTTGAACGTCGCGGAGTTCTCGCGAGCATCACCCGTCAGCTGCAATGAAGTGGAGCTACGCATGCGTGGTGGCGCGTGGGGAGCAGAGAAACTGGATGCCATTATCTATAGGCATGCTTCGTCTTGGGAGGACGAGAGTGCTCCCTCGCCTGGGGAGGGGAGGCAACCAAGTCCGAGGCTACGACACACGGAACTGCTTCGGCCATAGAGTCAAGGCCGCGCCGAAGATACCAGGTGAATAGTGCGTAGCTACTGTACCTGGGTGTGTGAGAGGTGTGTTTCTTTCAGTGAAGGAGGAGTGGTTGAGGAGGCGGGAGGCTCAGCCAAACCTGTGGAGACTTGTGTGCGCCTACAGAGACCACGGACACAGAGTCGCCGATCTCGACCCTCTTCAACTGACCCCCAGGTCCGGAGAGGAAGGGAAAGAGAGAGAGGGGGAAGGGAGGAACGGAGAGAGAGAGAGAGAGGGGAAAGGGAGGAACGGAGAGAGAGAGAGAGAGGGGAAAGGGAGGAAGGGAAGGGAAAGAGAGGGGAAAGGGAGGAATGGAAGGGAGAGAGAGGGGAAAGGGAGGATAATGGAGGAAGAGAATGTGGTAGAGAAAGCAAGGGAAAGGAGACGCAGTGACGGAATGATTACTGTAAAGCCGGGAAAATTTTGAGAGCGAAAGTTTCCTGAAATTTCGAAGTTTTCTCCAGAAATTTGTAGTTGGGGGCCTGATATTTGCATACTGAATCATGCAAGTTCACTGCTTGAGCCTTTAGAAACACGAAATTACACAGTACACACACATACTGTGGCCAAAATGATAGTGACCCTGACTGAGTATGTGGGTCCTGACTGTGAGTATGTGGGCCCTCATTTTGACCTACAGCTCTCCGCTGCCAGAGCTGGAGCCGTCTTCCTACGGTCTGGGAGGTAGTGAGGCAGAGACTATCCTCTATCCCACAGAGGGCCTCGTTCATGGCCACCCTCACCAGCAGGCACCTCTCTCTGACATCGTCCACCACCTCAAGAACGTCTACTGTGGCAGCCTAACTCTCGAGTCAGCTCATATCATGGTCAGATTTACTGCCTTGTTCCTCTGACTTTTTTCAGAACAGCATTGTTTAGAGAATGATCACTTGCTAGTCCCTCACACTAATGCACAGTGGTGCTTTGAGATGTTTTAAAAGTGTGTATGTGCTGGCACAGATACTGTAGCTGGCATTGTGTCTGTTTTTTTTTATTGTTCGGACTTGAATGGGGCAGTGTACAGTCAATTCCTTGCAAGTCTGCGTAAACCTACACGTGCCTAAGGGCAATGATTACCATTCGAAAATTGAAATTCAAACACTGACAATTTGCAAAATAGACTACAGTGATTTGTAAAGTTCTCTCTCTCTCTCTCTCTATGTACTGTGCCATCGCAACACCCTCACTAACTAACGTGTGAAGGACATGGAGGAAAAAGAGTGGCTTGCTCAGAAGTACGAGGAGACCAAGTCACGCCCCCTCTCGGAGGTCAACCAGAGGTCGTTGCTATGGGAAATGGTCCGCTCACAAACCCTCGACAATTTCCTTGGGAAGAAGTTTGGGACGTTAAAGAGGTACGGGGCTGAAGGAGCCGAGGCCATGATGGCTTTCTTTCAGGAGGCCTTCTCTTCAGCTGCTTCAGGTTTGTGTAGAGGAGGAGGAGGAGGAGAGAGGGAGAGGGTGAGAGAAAAGGGAGAGGGAAGGGAGTGGGAGGGAAGGACAAGCAGGGAAAATGATGCAGGGACAATGACGATGGTTGAAGAAGTGGAACAGGAAAAAGGGAGAAGCAAAGAGGAGAAAAAGTGGGGAGAAAGTATATAGAAATGGAAGAAAGAAAGATTATTGTCTCCACTGTTGAGTGGTACTGTATGTCTATCTGCCATCATCCAGGTGGAGTGAGTGACGTCATAATTGGCATGCCTCATCGCGGGCGACTCAACCTCCTCATCGGAATGTTACACTTCTCACCCACTGCGCTCTTCCACAAGGTACACTAGAGCATTGACGGGCGTGCACACCTGTATTTAACTATTATTCGATGCCATGATTGGTATAGGCTCGCTTTGCCTGCTCCATTTCTACTCGCATTACTGTAATATGGAGCACTTGGAGTGGGTCCATTATGTTTGTGTGCAGATACGTGGCAACGCAGAGTTCTACGAGGGAGCTCCGAGTGTGGGAGATGTTCTCTCTCATATCTGTACGTTGTGTCCTCATGAACAATAGCTGGTTTCATTTGGCACCATGTAGTATTAATGCGTGTACCCACCCAAGAAACCCTTGCTCCAGACATAGTATTGTGCCAATTCAAATGTTTTTTGCTGAAAGTCTCAATGCACAATTCCACCTTCAACGTACGTACAGTAGATGAACATATGGGTAGTAAAGATCGTCACTTTCGAAATTCTGTCCCTTAAAGAGAATGTTAAGGGCATGGAAGAATGCAATTTCTCTCGCATTCCTTTAAACATCATTTTAGTGTTATACAATTTGGACGTCCCAAATAGCCGCCATTTTTTCTCTGTCTCCAGCGGTGTCGGTAACCCTGGAGATGGGGGAAGAGAAGGCCCCCCTCCATGTCAATCTCCTGCCCAACCCCTCTCATCTGGAGGCCGTTAACCCCGTCGTGATGGGGAAGGCGCGGGCCCGGCTCCTCTCCCTGGGACTGGGAGAGTACTGGAGTGGCGGGGAGAGCGACGAGGACGGAGGGGGCAAGGTATGTATATATACTTGTGTTCCTTAACCCCTTGCTAAGGGTTAAATGTGAACTCTGCATATACAAGGGGGCACAGTCACAGGCAGATTTCTTTTTCGGCGTTGCCCTTTGCCCTTTGTCCGTCTCTCTGTCGGTCTGTCCGTCTGTCTTTTTCAACAGGTACTACCAGTCCAAGTACACGGCGATGCATCATTCAGCGGTCAAGGTGTCGTCATGGAGACGCTAGGAATGGCATCACTCCCTCACTACGGGGTGGGCGGGACCCTTCACCTGGTGGTCAACAACCAACTGGGATTTACTGCTCCACCTGACCATGGGAGGTGAAGGTTTGACCATTGTATCAATAGCGTCACCATAAAGGGATATATAGGAAACACTCTGATCTGAGTAGTTGGTATATAGAATGGTCACATCAACTTGTGTTGTGTGAAGGCTTGGATCTATATTATTATAGTCACTCCTCATTCACAGTTTTGGGACAAAATGAGTACGTGCATTTGAGTCTAGTTTGCATTAATCACCGAAAGCCTGTTTAGCTATAATATGGGGTCCACTCTGTATTGATGACTGGCTATATGTCATCTACAATGTATGTACATATGTGTGTTATTATTACATGTCCATAATGCTGTGTTCCTAAGATTTGGGTGCGTGTGTAACATGTGTCGCAGATCCAGTCACCACTGTACCGATGTTGTAAAGATGATTGGAGCCCCCGTACTGCACGTCAATGGAGACCATCCTGAGGTGAGGCGCGAGGGGAGGAGAGGCAATTCTGGAGGTATAATAGGAAAGAGGAGATTAGGCAAAATAAGGACAGAGACAGCAAGATAAGGTGAAAAACAGGAATAGGGACATGAAAAACAGGAATAGGGACATGGAAAACAGGAATAGGGACACGATCACTGAAACCACGATCGTTCTCAATTCTCTCTCTCTCTTCCAATTCGCAGGAAGTGGTGAGAGCTACAGCAGTTGCCATGGACTACTGGATGAAGTTCCGGAAAGACGTAGTTGTCGATCTCGTCTGCTTCCGCAGATGGTGAGTCTCACATCACGTGATGTCATGTGCGTGATGTCATGTGACATCACATGATGTCGTACACGCAGGGGTCACAACGAGATGGATAACCCTTCGTTGACCCAGCCCACCATGTACAATGTTATAGACAAGAGGCCCAGCGTCCCAGATCTCTACTCTATGGAACTAGAGGTGCGGTATGGATGTTCATGCACTACAGAGCACTCTGTTTTTCTAGAGAGGGCTCTACCAACTGTGTATATATACTGAGGCAGCTATGTAGTTGCATGCATGATCTTATGTCCCGACTAGTGTTGGGATGTACAACATTAGATGCACTTCTACGTACAGGTGACTTAGACCTTGCAGCAGAAATATAGCTAAGGATTGATAGATAGCTACTATACGTGGCATGCAACATACACTGAAACCTGTGGGAAAACTCTTAACCAAATACTGTCTTTCAGTCACAAGGGGTGGCTGAAGAAGGAGAGGGGAAGAAGATTGCAAACTCTTACTCTGAGCAACTCAACGCCCGTCTCAAGGAAGTCGACAGCCACACCCCCTCGGTCAGTGATGATTGTCATGTGACATTCCAACCGGTGCACGTGAGTGTGTGGTGTGCATTATTTAGAATGAGACTCTGCGGGATCGGTGGGAGGGGCTGGAGTTTGCTTCGTCAAATATCACAGTCTGGGACACAGGTGAGGGAGAGAGCCGTCAAATACATACTGTAATAGCTCATTGCTGGTCACATGACTTTTGACCAATCAGGTCATATTAATTCAACTCATACTATAAAAGATTCTATCCTCAGCGTGCATGAATTATAACGTCCATGACACTGTGCATGTTTGTCAGCTCTTAAAATTGATGATGTCATAATTCCAGGTTTGCCAGAAGACGTACTGAAGTATGTGGGGGCAAAATCTGTCAGTCTTCCTGACGATTTCTTTGTGAGTGACTTGTTTGTGTGTGTGTGCATGCTGAACTGTGGTGTGTGTGTGTGTTGTGTGTGTGTGTGTGTGGTGTGTGCGTGCACAGAAAGTGAGTAGGAGATTAGAAAGAAGCCACATTGCTGAAAGATTAACCAGCCTTGAGACTGGGGTGGGCATTAATTGGGCCACTGCCGAGGCACTGGCTATCGGGACCCTCCTCTATCAAGGTCAGTGACCTCTGGAGCCAAGAGAGAAAAGTAAACTCCTCCCACTCCTCCTTCCCCTCCCTCTCTCGGGCAGGGTTCAATGTGAGACTCAGTGGTCAGGATGTTGGTCGAGGAACATTCAGCCATCGTCACTCAATGATGGTTTGCCAGGAGTCAAACTCTGCTTACATTCCTCTAAACAACATCTCCCCTGAACAGACTGCCTTCCTTGAGGTACACACTTCCTATCAAGTTTCTTTTATTCCTGGTTTACTACGAACGTATGTGTAGTCGAAGAGAGAAAGCCCCAGCATATTGTAGGGATCCAAGCTCAGCAAAGATACACACCCCGGGGCCTCGAGAATCAGCGCCTTACTTCAAATCTCACTCTCATTCCAAATGGAGCTATATATCACAATTGTTTGAATTTAACATGTTTGAGTGGCCGTGTAGAAATTCGTCCTCTATTAGTAGACCTCGGCTTTGCAATCTGATTTCAACCCCAGCTCATTCGGCTGTTGAGCGATCTGATTGGTCGACTTGAACCCGGCTCACTCTAAAACGCAGGTTGCGAACAGCTCACTGAGTGAGGAGGCGGTGCTGGGGTTTGAGTATGGCTTCAGTCTTGAGAGTCCGCGGAGCCTGGTTCTCTGGGAGGCCCAGTTTGGAGACTTCTTCAACGGAGCCCAGATCATGATCGACACCTTCGTATCCTCCGGAGAAGGTGGGCAGTGCTGGGGTGTGTGGTCTTCCTCAAACCGTATCAATCCACATAAATTTTTCTGTGTGTCATAAACAGCTTGCTGGGTAGATATCGTGCAAGTATCAACATACTGCAAGTTAACTTTTTGGCCAGCCATGTTAGTTTTTACGTACTTGCTGCAGAAACTAGCAACATTTGCAGATCAATTCACCATAGAGTCCTTTCGTGGCATCGTTTCGATCGAAATTGTACGTCTAAAATGCTGCTCTCTCAGCCAAGTGGCTCCTACAGAGCGGTCTGGTGCTGCTCCTCCCCCACGGACTGGATGGGATGGGTCCGGAGCACTCTTCCTGCAGAATGGAGAGGTTTCTGCAGCTGACAGACAGTCAGGAGGCCGGGCCGGACGGAGACCGTGTCAACATGCACGTGGTCCACCCCACGACCCCGGCCCAGTTCTTCCACCTTCTGAGGAAGCAGGTGAGGCGTCTTCCAACTCTTACTGACCTGAAATTGTCTCTCTATCTGTTAGCGGGTAGTGTTGTGGTATGTGTGTGTGTACGTTATATTTGTGCACATTCAGATTGTGCAGAACTTTCGAAAACCACTGATTGTTGCATCACCCAAAATCATCCTTAGATTACCAGTAAGTTATGTATACCGGCTGATGATGGCTCACATGACTATCATGTGACCCTCGCCTGACTGTCATGTGACTCTTTTCCTCCGACACCAGGAAGCTACATCCAGTCTGCAGGAGATGGGCCCGGGAACATCGTTTAGTCCGGTACTCGGAGATGAAACCGTGGACCCAAAACAGTGGGTGGTGATTGGTATATACCATAACACGAAAAATGCTTCCACACAGCAAACTATAATAAATCTTCTATTAAAACACATGTTTTTAGCATGCTACAGTCGCCAGCCAAATGCCACTTGCAATGCTTTTAAGTGATTTGATAAACTTCTTCAGTCATGTCCTTCACTTTTCCTCCTCCCCTGGCTCCCCTGGCTCCCGTACGTACGTATGCAGAGTGAGTCGTGTGGTCTTCTGCTGTGGGAAGCACTACTACCCACTGGCCGCCCACAGGAGAGAGCTGGGGAGAGAGGATAACATCGCCATCGTGAGACTGGAACAACTCTGCCCCTTCCCCAGTGGAGCCATCCACTCTCATCTCGCCAGGTTTCCTTCTGCCAGAGGTGAGGGAGAGAGAATGACAGGAGTAAGGAATGGAAGAGAGTGAGATAAGCGGAAAAATTTCACCCGCTCACAAAACGTTAAGGTCCAGTTTTTTGATGGGACATGTTCAGTGCATTAGGTATGGAGCTGAAGACTATAGCATTCAAGATTTATGGCTGTGTAGAGCTGTGTAAAAAGAACAAAAACAGTGACGATTTTTCAATCGCAGAGTTCGTATGGAGTCAAGAGGAGCCAGAGAACATGGGTGGATGGCAGTTTGTGGAGCCTCGCTTCAGGAAACAGCTGGGAGTCCAGGTGAGCAACCACACTCTTCTCTCCCTTCACACACACATCCGACCGTCTCTCTCATCCTCTCCCTACAGCTAAGGTTTGTCGGTCGCAGGGCCTACCCCTGTCCTGCCACCGGCGTACCAAAGATCCACCAACAAGAGGCAAAGCAGCTGCTCACAGACACCTTTGCCAAGTCTATATAGCTAGTGATAACCCACGAGCCAATCTTCCATGACCATTAAATTATTTTTGATCTCTTTTGTGATGTACAGGGGTTAAGGTTTAAGACAGCAAACATGAAAGTGAGAAAATACTTTTGAGCAGTAGAGGTCAAAGGATGATTCAGTTGGCGTGATTATTGTTGTGATGGTAACGGTTGCCTAGGAGATGAGGACGGTTCGTAGAAGTGATCTCGGAGGAAATGATAAGATTCTTGAATAACGGCCAACCTGGGGTAGAACTCCTGGGAATTATAGATTCAAGATTTTTCAGAGGTTTTTTGAGGTGTCTTGGCTTACGGTAAAGAGTGGGTAGAGCTTGAGGACCAGTGGATGTCTGTCTACTGTTGACTTCTCCCTCCGGACTATTGTCACGGCCAGGTAGAACACCACTCGACACTTTGGGAATGAGGGAGAGTGCGAAGGGGAGAGGGGAAGAAGAGAGTGAGGGATGAGAGAAAAGTGAGTGGGGAGCAAGACATAGAGAGGAGAGAAGAGAGCAAAGAGTAAGTGAGGGTAAAAGAGTCTTCTAAAGCTGCCGTGTTACACTTACCATCGTGACACCTTCGTTAATGATGATGTCACCAACGACGGTGTGTGGTAGGAACATGGAGGAGGAGAGGCCGACCCAGCTGGTGGAGCTGATGTAAACACCCAGTCCTCGAACCACCACCACCTCCTCTGAGTGGACACGGGGAGAGCTTCAACACACAGTATTATACCACAGTGTGCCGCCTGTCTACCTCTGCATACAGAGAGGACGAGTGAGAGGATTAGATAGAGGCAGAGGGCGGAGATGAACACGCAATGGACTAATACTTCATACACTGACTGCAGGGAGAATGCATTATGTGGAACAGTAGAGTGCTGTCGTGTTGCCTAACCACTGCCGTGGAAAGGGCCAGGTCTAGGAGAACCAAGAACGCGAGAACGACGACCGTACGTATGGCTTTCGTTTTCCTGCATTTGCGGAATTCTATTCCCCGTCCGTCATTCCCACGGCCCGAACAGGATATGCTACTGCAGCTAACGTAATACAGTTCGTCCTTGATGCTCCTCTGCGGACGAGCACCCCAGTCCGGCTCGCAAACATTCTTTTCTTCGTCTTCGCCATGCTGCAGACCATCCTCCGACATTATTTTTTCAATATTTCTCGGTGTTAGCCGCCGCGCAACGGATAAATGGAGTTAAAACATTATATATACACATACTGACAATGAATTTTTCAATCTCCTGTCCTAAGATTGGGGTTCATCCTCCAGTCCAGGCTGGGGTCACGATCAGCCACGCCCCTTCCCACCCTCGTCAGCAGAACAATCACCATGACGATGAGAAAAACGACGGCCACGGCCATCATGAGGTATCGTCTCATTATCACCGAGGAGTCGTCACTAGGGACATTCCAATGCTGCTGGTGCCTGGGTACGTATTCAATAGTGCAGAAAAGTTGAACGCACACAAGTGCTATATACCATAAAACAGTAAACTTTCAGAAAATTCACAGCATGTTTTCCTGCTACTGTGCACAAACTATCCCCGCCAAAAATAATCGAATTGCTTTCTAGCTCATGGTTGTCGGCCAGGTAAATTCTAGTCCACTGAATATAATATGTGTGTATACTAGTGATTGGGTGGAGGATTTCCACAGAAATAGCTGTATCTAATAAGGCTGTGTGATGACAGGGACATACTTGACCCATCGGGAGACCATCTCCAGAGGATTCTTCCTGCGATACTTGTTCTCATCCACATCTCTACTCAGAGATATCCCAGTGGCCGCCGGGTACGATTCCCGTACACCCATTCCAGTACCACCCACTGGAATTGGAACGGAAACATGACAGAATGGGGGAATGGGACATGAGGCCTACCTCCTCTGGCTGTGGTGAGGCCCTGTTGTTGAAAGGTGGTGTTGTGGGTGGCTGAGCGAGCTTCGTCATGTGAGGGAGGGATGGGGAGGGAAGTGGAGAGGGAGGGAGAGGTGGAGGGGTGAGGGGGACGAGGGGTACTCGTCAGAGGTGACATGAAGTTGTGTGATGTACCATCTGGCCCTTCTAAACCACAACTCTGTGATTAAATTTCGATGGGAGGGAGAGACTTACCTTCTACAAACATGCTACTGTCCTGTGGTAATCCATGCTGCGAGAAATGGAGGAATACAGAAGAATACAGTAGCAAGCAACTTTTGGGGAGGAACAACTTGCAATACCACTTATGCCGATGGATTGTACGGTCATAATTAAGCAACTGCTATTTAGCATGCTTCCCCTCTTTAACTTACAGGAGGAGTAGGGGTGTTGGTGGAGGTGGTGGCCCAGGGGAACCCTCGGAGGACATCTCTCAGTCGACAGGCCACGGGAGAAGCCATGTTTGGAGGAGGAATAAGAGGATCCTGTGAAAGACAAGGAAAAGGGTCTGGTAACGTATGTAATGGAGATTGCCAATCAATACCTTGCATTTTGGACAGAGGTAGTTCGTGGGCGTGGTGGTGGACACTAAACTCCGTCCATAGGAGTCCAAGCAAGCCACGTGGTAGACGTCTAATATACGAGAGTATGCGGGAAATTACAAACGGGTCGGTGGGCGTTATTTAGAGTGCTGACCGTAGCATACGAGTCGCACCACGTCCCCGCCTTCCTGTATGCTCTTTGTGCAGAGGACGCAGACTGGGTCGTAGTCTGCGTCCTCCAGCCACTTCAGGTAGGACTGCACCACGCACTGAGACAAGAGAATACGCGCTAGAGCTCGTTCTCTCAGTCACTAGCCCATTCTAGACTTACCCTGTGATGCTGGCTAATCATACAGTCCTCGCAGACGTTCACCTGGTGCACGAAACAGAACAGGTTCGTCACACGGCGCTTTTCGCACCTGCACAGACCCATTTCCAGCTCGGCTACACCTGAGAAAGGTGAGAGTTCAACTGCCCCCGTTCCATTCCGGATAGAGCCCGGGGGGAGGGGCAGCCCCCACAGCGCGCAGCTCGCTTCGGCTTCACTCTCGTCTTGCTTCACTGCTGTCTGTCTTCCACCCCGCCGCTCCTCATGAGCGGGAGGGAGCCTCCCGCGTCAGCTCCTGCTGCAGGCCACCAGTCAACGCAAAGAGAGCAGCGGCAGACAAAACGCCGAGCGAGACTGAAGACGTGTTGCTGGCACTTCCTCGCGTCCATCCCGCTGGTTCTCGCTCTCCTCGCCTACAACGCCCGCTTCATCCTGGACGAGTACGTGGCCTACTACGGCTACGGAGAGGCTCTGGACTACGAATTGCCTCCTGGGATTATGGACGCCTTCCGCTACTACGACCAGGACGGAGACGGGTATCTGGACCCTTACGAGTTTGCTCCTCTGGGGATGATGGTCAGGGAAGAGGTAAAAGAACGGGACACTCGAAGAGATCAGCGGTGGTTCACAGCTGTTTGTTTCTATTAGGAGGACCAGTTTGAATTTGCTGATCCGGAGCTGGGCCCGGAGAGAGAGGGTCTCATCGTGAAAGCAAGCATGCAACCACTGAAACTGGACACCATGACAAAGTTTGGAGACAAGCAAGATGTACGTACATCAGCCTCTCTGCACCACTCTACCTTCTCTCTCCTCCTCCCCCTCTCTCCTATCTCTCTCTCTCTTTCTCCTCCTCCTCTCCCCTCAGTTCTATTTCGGCGCTCCAGACCAAATCTTACCTGGCCTCACTCGATGGAAATCCCCACAGCATCCACTCCACATATACGGAGCTGGCAACTTCAGAGTCTTCCTCCCTCCCTCCTCCCCCGCCTCGTACCCTCTCGGGGAGACCTACCACATCATAGAGCCACTGAGAAACGAACTGGGGGTCCATATGAACCGCTATCGACCTCCGCGACCCCTCGGGAAGGCGGACTCCCTGCTGTACGCTCTTCTGAGTCAGTTCCATCCGAATCCGTTTGTTCAGACGCGATTTGGTCCGCGGGGGACTGTGGCAGTCGTGAGAGCCAGGAACAACTCCCTACTTGACATTGTCTTCAGGTCTGTACATATGTCTTATAGCTGAATTTTCAACAAACTGTAGCTTCAATTTTGGTCTTCCACCACTGTGTGGTGCATATGTGTGAGTGTGCATGTTTCGCTGCACAATAGGTATGGCTGTTTGTTTCTGAAGGTATGCTGCAATGCAAACTGAACCTTAAACTTTGAGTAGTACACGTCACTGATCCTAAGAGCCCTTATAAGGTCACACCCTATCTGCACAAATCTCAAGAAGAAACGTGCATGTTTAGTGGCACGAGTTGACAGTGCATCAAGTGTGATATTTGACGTATGAATGAGCACTACATACAGACCCGAACACAGTATTGCTCTTGCTAATTATACAGAGCCCATGCAGAGTTCCAGCTGAACGAAGAGCCAAACTACCCGTTCTGGTTCACTCCGTCTCAACTCTCCGGTCGACTGGTGATCCACTCCAGTGGAGATCATGTGCTTCACCTCTCTCTGGCTGTCCCTACCGATAGACACCTCAATGTCGGTCAGTCTCCCTCTCTCCTCTTCTCTTCCTTCTACCTCTCTCCTTCTTTCTTTTTCTATTCCTTCCACTCTACTTGTTTATTGCGTACCTACACTGATTTTTCAAGCAGCCTACGTATGTATACTGTTTTTTCACCTCTGTTTTCATGACCCCTCAGACATGGAGTGGATAACTGGTAAAGGAAGCAATGAAGTTGATATAGGTGAGTCGCAATGCTACTATGCAACTTGCGTCAATGTTTATCAGTGTATGTATATGGTGCTCGAACCGATATGGGTGAGATGGTCCACACAGCAATTGCACATAAGCATGTCCTCTAACATTGTGTTCTAGGACCATCATGCATGATAGTTTAGTCTCACGACAAAAGGTTCCGCGATGTATATTATGTGGCCTTATAATGGGGGGGCCCCTCTAATTATCCCAGGGTATCTACCGAGCATGGAGCTCCATTCCACGCAGCCATCGTCTGTCATGGAGAATGGAACGCAGCTGGACACCAGGGAGGCGGAATGGAACCCAGACCAGGTGGAATGGGAACAGGAGATCCCTCTGGAGGAGGCCAGAGAACTGCTTAAGAAAGCCATGTACCCTTTCAAGAAGGTATTTAATAATGCTTTTGTTTTCGGCATGTAGTTCAATATTAAACAGCCACCGTAAGAAAAACGTATTTCATGGATCGCCAAATCACCCCAGATGATATGCATGCTAACAATAATCATTCTCTGAGCATACTGAAAATTTAAGGCATTGCTAACTATTTTTAGTACGCATCACTTCACACAGCTCGCTTTATCCATTATTGACCTTGCAAACTGCAGAGTTTGTCCACGTTTAGCACTCAACTTTGATTTTCAAATGCCGTGCACTCTGAAACTTTGAAAGCGAGTCACCATCTGTTTCCACACACAAACCAACACACTCCGCTGCTCTAGGTGACGTACAGACCGTTTCTGGAGGCACTGGAGGAGGCGGTACTCCGGGGTAAACTGGTCCACTCCGTGCTCCTGTGGGGGGCCCTGGACGACCAGTCGTGCTGAGGCTCCGGGCGGACCCTGAGAGAGGGAGCTCTCCAGTGTCCGCCCGTCGTGTCTCTCCTGGAGGAGAGCTTCGTGAGCTCCTGGTCGCTGGTGAAGGAATTGGAGGATATTGCAGGGAACTCCTCGGCCACCGACTGGCAGAGAGAGAGGGCGCGGCTTGCCCTCGACAGCTACAGGTCTCCCTCCATACCACAGTACATCTAGTTCACAGTAAAACGATGCATGTCCAGTAACCACTAAGAGCTCTTGATATCTAAGCAATAATTTATTAAGTTGAAATATGAGTTATTTTTCAAGCAAGATTCTAGCTGGTAACATTGTTCACCCCTGGCAGAGTAAACCTGTGGTTGCATGTGGCTCATTCCGAGACATCCTGGCATCTGTGTGGAACTGAAAAAAGCCCCCATATCTGTCAATAGCGCAACCCACTTTTATGAAAACTAGATAAGGGAGACCCCATAGCTATCTCAATTCTGCGATTTTTTCTCTGGATGTCTCTGTCCATAGTCCGTACTATAATGCTTTTTGCAATACGTGGAAAATCGTTTAAAGTTTCATTCAAAGTCGCTCACCAATAGCATTCACGTTCTATTTAGAGAGCAACATTCGTCCAAAGTACACCAATTTTTCTACTTCTAACTGACATCACTGTCGCTTGCTCTCTCTCTCTCTCTCTCTTCTCCTCTGTCCCCAGTTTCCCGGTGGAGTCAATGGTGATACGGCCGGAGGACGGCAAGGTCCTGAGCCACATCAACGCCAACAACCTCCTCGATACCACTGCCAGCTCCATACTAGAGAGCATCATGTGAGACCACTATATTATACTGTGGAACTAGAGGACACGCTGGGACCGTGGACTTTATACATACATAGGTGTCCTTCATTCAGAGCTTAAATACCTATTAATGCTGGATCGAAAAAAGGTCCTTTATAGAGAGGTGTCCTAAGAGATTCAACTGTATACAATTTTCATTTTTTCCCCTCTAAGGCCAACTTCCATAGCGACTGTTGTGAGTTTGCGTGCTATTGTGTGCTTCTTGTCCCTCTGCAGCGAGGATCCTGTCAACAGGCATTACCTGAACTTTCTCAAAGAAGGAATTGCTGCAAATCAAGAGTTGTAACCCCCTCCCCCCACCTCAACTTTTTTGTACCGCTCCCCTCCTTTTTCAAACGCTCTCATTTTTTTCTCCGTGAGTCCTATGAAGACAAATGGCCCAAACCGCAAATAATTTCGGTGGCCATTGTCGGATGAATTGCTCACCTGTATAAAAAATTTTTCCCCCAACATTTTGCGCATGCGCAGTCACGCCTGCGGTTGCGTGTTGCAGGAAGGTAAAAGCTCGTGTTGGAGTTGGAGAGCTATACTGCTAGCTACCTACCTACCTACCTACTGCGTGCTTGCTTGCAAGATGAAAAGTGTAAGTCAGAACGGCCTATGCAGCGTCTCGCTGATGTTTAGAAGCCTCGCGGGTGCGCGTAGTGCGTAAACTCGTTAACACCCTGCGAGCTCTGTTTTTCTTGCAGACGTTGACAGTGCTGGTTGTGGTGTTCTCCGCGGTCCTTGGTGGCCTGCAGCGACACACCGTGTCTCCTCTGGACTTGACCCAGCAGCGGGGCGGTCCCCGGGTGGACAAGAATTGCCTTAGGTGCCTCGATTTCGGCGAGAAGTACCTCAAGGACCTCTTCGACATCATTACGGGTAAGTGATGTGTGTGTAGCCATAAAACTTGATGTTCGGTGCCATTTTTTAAAATTGGAGCACCCTGAGTTCACCCCTTTCCCCCACATACCTAGCTAATTGTTTCTTGGGGTATTTTCCCCTTCAAAAATAATCCTGCTGACCCCTTCAAAATGTGTGGCGCCAACTTCACACGAGTTTTATTTTCTGGTTGAGAGGACTGGGGTATATACTTTTGCTAAATAATTTTCAAGCATAAAGCTTGGTAGGTATACCCTCGTTTTGTTCCCTCCCTGCAGGTGGTGGCGAGTTTGGTACGTGTACAGAGTTGTGTCATTTGCTGGAGAATAAGGTGCACACTACCGGGGTTTTCGTGGTGTGTGTCGCAATCTGCGGCGCTGTTGATTTTGCTACCTTCATCGAATTCTTGAGAAAGTACGATACTCTCATGGAGCGTCTCGTTCTATCCTAACGTTCTTCTCTTCAGAGTCGAACTGGATGAGTTCTACTTCTGTGATCTGCTCAAACTGTGTCCGACCAAGGATGATGGTGATGCTCACATCTATTCTCTTGAAGCTATCCCCAAACACGTCAAGCTAAGTACGTAAGCACTCTTGCCATGGAGAGTAATATAATTTCAAAGGAGGAAGCTTTGAAATAGGTGATTTCGTTTCAGATTAGGCAGGTAATCCATAAATATTTCGTTCTCGGTTCTTTACTCCAGTATTTACCAAATGTGCATTAGTGTGTTGCCTTTGTTTTACTAATGCTAATGGATTTTCACGCACAGACACGTCATTTGAGGTTGTGATGGTATTTATTACAAAAGCCGGTACGGGGCTGGGACAGTATGACCTCAACATTACGACTGGAGGCAGTGTCGTTAAACGAGATGACGCCACCGTGGATCCTATAGAAACTGGGGACTATAAGGCCACGTGGACTCTCTTTGCACCACTGAGTTGGAAACCTGGGAACTACACTGTTGGTGTTGGTATGTCTCTTCCTCCTCTTCCCTTCTCTTCCTTATTTCATGTCTATGCTATCCACCCCCTCTCTCCTCTATTCTTTCTCCTCCCCCCCCCTAATTTTATGTCACATGTTCAATCGTCACCCCCTCCATCTCCTTCCACCCTCTCTGTCTCTCTGTGCAGCCATGTGCTATGGGAAGTGTTGGAGCCATGTGCCCCATAGTGAGGTGTACTCCTCAGCAAAGGCCAACTTCAATATCTCCGGCTCAGGCTGAACTCTTTGTATATTACTGCATGCTGAGCTCTGCTGTCATAGACAATCTCTAATTTGCCTCTGTGTAAAAATTAATGGCCATAATGGCCACACTCGTGATCAATGTTTTTTGGATGAAATTGACCTCAAAATTTCATCACGCGATTCTCGGAGGGCGTTTTTGCACGTGTATAATTATTGAACAGGTCCCGCTCTAGCTTTCTTGTCCTCCACAGAGCTTTGTTTGCCACAGCGGAATACACAACCATGAAGGCCGTGAGTCTGCGCTAGCTAGCAGCTGTGTATTGTTCCGGAGCTCAGCCGCGGACAACAATAGCTAAACGTTATACCGCGCGTGTTTGTCGCGCAGGCTGGAGTTATTCTTCTCTTGCTGGTGTCGGGGTCCATGGCCGGCTCTCTCTCGCGCCCCACCATCACTACCCTGGATGATGCGAAGGAGCCGAAGATCGACTTATGTCCAATTTGCATTGAGTTTGCCGATGAGGCCATCAACGACCTCCTAAATATTGTTCTGAGTGAGTATATAGTGTGGTAATTGTATAGCCAGCCTATCTCACCCCGCGATGTCTTCTCTCCTCAAGATGCTGGTGTGATTGGAGGCTGTGGAGATCTATGCGCAATGCTGGCAAAAGAAATCAAGACTGATGCTCAAATCATTGATGTTGTCTGCAATCTTTTCTGCGACTACGTTGGCATCAAAGAATTCATCAATATCATTGAAAAGTTTAAAAAAAAGACTTGCCTAGAACACCATCTGTTTTACGTGGCTGCTTTCCCTCTCTCTCTCTCTCCCTCTCTTCTCCTTCTCCTCTCTCTCCTCTCTCCCTCTTCTCCTTCTCCTCTCTCTCCTCTCTCTCCTCTCCCCTCTTCTCCTCTCCTCTCTCTCTCTCCCTCTTCTCCTTCTCCTCTCTCTCTCTCTCTCCCTCTTCTCTTCTCCTCTCTCTCTCTCTCCCTCTTCTCCTTCTCCTCTCTCTCCTCTCTGTCCTCCTTCCCTCCCTCCCCCCCAGAGCTGACCTGGACCCTATCTACTACTGCGAGTTACTCCACCAATGCCCTGTAGACGACAACGGAGACGCTCACATCGTCTCGTTCAAAGTTATTCCTGATGATGTTGTGCACGGTATGTCGATGAGTTTAAAACTCTTTCATAACTTCGTGGTTTATTAGCAATCTGCATAGTTTTCTCAGCAAAGTAATAATATTTAAAGCCTGGTCATTTGGGCCACCAATATAGAAATGAAAGTTCTCCAAGAAATTAGAGTATGCTATGCTCAAAAGGTCCCCCGTATTGTGGGTTTATATTTGTTCTTTTCCGCACAGCCTCGTGCATGGGTCATATATATAAGCATTAAGTAAACATAAATCTAAACAACCTTAAACTCACCATAAAGCATATAGGATCAGTTCTATATAATAGTGCATGGTTTGCCCCCTTTTAACACGTCTGTATGCTTTGGTACGCAGTGTTAAAGAGTGTTGTATAACTATACTTTCTGAATTGGTTTACTTTGGCAGGGTCCACGTTCCGCATTGAGCTGCTGTTTGATACCAGGAACGGAACGGGGACAGGGGAGATCGACCTCCTCATTAACACGGCGGACGGCATCCCACTGGAGCAAGGTAAGCTGAGCGAGCCACTGGTACCGGGAGCATACAACGTCACGTGGAGTGTTGAGGCCAAACCGGACCCCAACTGTGACCCCACCCAGGAGATTTGCGAGGAGTGGATCCCTGGCAACTACACTGCCAACGTTGGTGGGTCTCATATAATATTGTATGTGTGTTTGTCGACAAAAGCTAACGTAGCATAACAGTACGGTATGTGCAGTGTGGAAGTGTCACAACATTAAAAAATCCCACAAAAAGGTTCAGTTTTGCCGGCGCTGACCAGGGCGATTGTTCCGGCCCGACATGGGTTCGATATAAGGGTGTTCCAGGGCGTGCGCGCTCTACGAACGTCGTGAATCGGATGCGAAGCTTGTAGGACTGTGCGAGGACAGAGGTCGCCGATGACACTCGGCTCCAGCGAGAATGTCATCGAGCAGTCGCGGTTTCTCGAGTCTGACACCACGTTGAAGTAATCAATCCAGACGCTACGGAGATCGACCACGATCACCATGGTCGCGCCGCATTCGTCACGCGAGCCTCCCAAGGTAGCTTTCCTCGCAACCGCTCGGGCATCGGCCCTTGCGCCCGCGTTCCGCCACGAGCAGCGCAATCCTTCATCTCACGGCGGCCCGCTCGTGTCTTGAATCCACCCGCCTTCACAGCCGCCTCCGCCATCAGCGTGTCATTGATCTGGATATTGGGTGCGATCGAGCTCTTATGTGTATTATTACAAGATTTATACACATTCGAAACAGCGCGCAGATAGTCCCAATCAGGCTTGGATTGACCTTGAAAATTTTATGTAAATCTCGCGGAGCAGCGGCTGATCATATTCGTGCAGCAAGACCCAAAGCTGTGCCACTCGCAGAAGCGATGAGGCCTACGCAAATCGGGAGGGTTGAGTTTGACCCCGCAGCACAGCGGGAGTCAGGGAGATCGACCACAGATAGGGCGGGGCCATGCGCCAGACTTGCCCCCTCTGATGGCGTGCTTAGGGGCAGCGGGTAAGGAGCCTTCCCGTGCGGTGCGATTTTTTTCAGTTGACGTGTCAGTCCGACTGGGCCTATAACAGAGGTGCTTGGCTAAACCCCAGTGTGCGGAGCTCCGAATGATGTCTGCCGATACGAACAATGGAAGGATTTAGGTCATGTTCTGCTTTACCATCGATAGCATGCCGAGATACGGAAACCTTGAAATGACCGGTCCTACTCAGCGACTTCATCCACTGTCGTCGATCCACGTCGCTAGGTTAGTGCCAGTATACACTCCGTCGACACTCATGAGCGCGCTCTCAATAGGTGCCGAGGGCCTGTGAGGGGCGCTTGGAGCGCCCTGGAGCAGCGCACCTTTAGACAAACATGGCAACCAGGGCCGATTCGCGGCCGTAGCCGCCAATCTGGAGCGCCGTGATCTCGGCAGACGTCATGCTAGAGCATATCGACACGTGAGGTAGATCAAAGACTGACCTCGCAATCGATTGCGCCACCGACGAAAAGCGCGACTCGGTCCTGACGCCGTGCGCGCTGACTTGTATCGACCGCGCCTATGGCTTCAAGGCGGGAGCGTCTCGGCGTTGTGGAATAACTTGGTGTCTCGTGGGATGATCGCCTCTATGACCTCGCTAACGCCCCGCGCAAAAAAGGGCGCGAGTGAAGGCCAAGCCGCGCTGCTCCTGTGATATTGGATGAGGGAATGCCGCTTGCTTCTGACCCTGTGACATCAGTGGATTTAGTGAAATTCAACACTGTCTGAATTGTTCGCGCCGCCTTTGTGCGCGGCGCCTGTTTGTGCATGGCTGGCCCGGCCCCTGACCAATTTGTCCCCGTAAAAGCTCGAAAGAAAAAGAAGAATTTGTCCGCCCGGTACCCTATTGGGAACTACCGCCCCGAATGTCTGTTACATCGTGAGGCGCGCTCGAAATCCCTGTCACTCACCGCACATCCAACAATTTCTACACCTGCCCACAACCACGACGAGTCCTCTTAAGGCCACGTCCGCCTTCCAAGTACGCTACTGAGTAACATCATGTCACCCACACAGCTAAGCACACACCCCTCCTCCACCTCCTAGTCAGCGACTACGATATGCCACGTGTTATATACATCTGTAACTATGGAGTGATATCTGCTCAGGTGTTCCCCCAAATAGCAGAAGTGAACGTAAAAGTCAACGGCAAATCGCCACTTCCTTCATCGCGAGTGACGCGAGTCTCCAATGTCGTCTGATTTGTAATGGTGGATGGGCACGGCACTGCACAGCGTCATGTTTACGTGATGCGGGTTTCTCGTAATAATAATAGTCAGATTCACCTATCATAGTAATCAAAACCCTTTAGATTAGGTATTGCGGTCATCGTATAACCAAACCGAATAAATACACGTCATCTTGAATTATTGCTGTGCTATCATTTTAGCCATCACGAGAGCAGATCGATTAGCGGATGAAATTTCTTCCCTTTCCTTCACTCTACGTTGCGAAAATCCCTCCCTTTTGAAGATCAACAAGGGGCATTCCCCTTCTTTTACCACTTCACCATAAATTCCCACCTTTCCATTGATCCAGGCCGTTGACATAAAATAGTGAATCCCAAAACTTTTGCCCCTTTTCCATGAACAGTGACAAAGCATTTTAATGCTGTCATTCTGACCAGAAAGTAAATTCACAGTGCATTCTCAAGTAGCTGAATAATTATTATGATCTTACATTTTGCATAAGTAGTACTGAAGCATCTTAAGAAGTACTAGACCAGATGTTATTATGCTCATGGTGATCTATACATCCATCAATCTATTAGCTGTCAGCAAATGTTTGCAGTTGTCCTTAATGTGAAGATAAATTTTGGTTATACATACTTTGGGTGAATAAGGTTTGAAGTAGAGTACTGCCATTTACCTCTGAAACTAATTGCCTCCCTGGATGGAAAATTACGAACAAATATCCCTTCATCACTTGTTACCAGGTTCCCCATCATCTACAGCCATAATGGCTACGTCAGCAGATGTCCATGTACACCTTGGTGGTCAGTTTGGCTACCAGAATGTCCACGTACACACATCCAAGGTCCTGGGGACTGGTTCCTATGGGAGTGTGGTCAAGGCCACTCTGGACCACCTCCCCTGTGCCGCCAAGATCCTTCACACTGTCTTCTTCCGAGACGACGACCCAGGGGCTGTCAACTTTGCCGCTCGTTTCGACCAGGAGTGCGACATCCTGCGAGCTCTAAAGCATCCCTGCATCGTCCAGTTCCTTGGTGTGGTCCAGGACCCCAGCAGCCGCAGACCCATTCTCCTGATGGAGTTGATGGAGGAGAGCCTGACTGGGTTCCTGGAGAGAGCCACGACCTCCCTCCCCTACCACGTCCAGGTCAACATCACCCACGACATTGCTCTGGCCTTGGCCTACCTGCACGGCAACAGCATCATCCACCGCGACCTCTCCAGCAACAACATCCTCCTGAGAGGAGGAGGCAGTCAGGCCAAAGTGACCGACTTTGGCATGTCCAAGATGGTGGAGGCCAATCCTCGCATGACTCGCAGTAAGATCACCCAGTGCCCCGGCACACCTGTCTTCATGCCTCCAGAGGCCCTGCGTGCCAAGCCTCGCTACTCCGACAAGCTTGACACCTTCTCTCTGGGTGTTGTGACAGTTCAGATCATCACTCGCTGCTTCCCCACACCCACAGATGCTGAGATAGTGGTGGAGGATGAAACAACACCGACAGGAGAGAAGATCCTCCCAGTTCCCGAGGTAGAGCGGCGTCAGAGAGACATGGGGAAGGTTCCTCCCGACCATGGTCTCCTGCCCACTGCCCTCCACTGCCTCAAGGACAGACCTAGAGACAGACCCAGTGCTGCCCAGCTCTGCCAGAGTCTGGGGCAGCTGAAGACAGGTGAAGCCTACACAGCCAGTCAGGCAGAGGACCAGGGGAGGAGACTGGAGGCCGAGATTGCTCGACTCCAGGAGCAGATGAAGCAGTTGGCCACTGAGAAGGATCATCTGGCCTCACAAAAACAGAGGGAGATAGCGGAGTTGAGAAGTCAACTGCAGACGTCACACAAACCACCAGTTCAGCGAGGGAGGGAAGCAACGACTGTCTCTAGGCCCGAGGCAAGTATACAGAGAGTTTAATCACAAAGTTGTATTATCAAAATGCATCACAACCTAGCCATCTTTTTGTAGGTATACTGTCGATGGTTCAGGATTTTCTCACAAGTATTGATGTGATTCATGTACTTTCATGATGTCTGCAGGATGAGAAAGCTCTGTATGATGCTGCTCGTGATGGAGATGTGTCTGCAGTGAGAAGACTTCTGGCCTCTAATGTCAACATCAACTGTACACCATATCCTGTAGGTACAGTGTGACTGTGTTCCATCAGATGTCCAATCTGTTTCACCATCTCACAGAATGGCTGGACTCCACTGATGGCAGCATCATTTGATGGACATGTTGAAATTGTGAGACTACTGATTGAGGCTAAGGCTCAGCTCAACATACAAGAAAAGGAGGTATTTTCCATCTCTCAATCACATTGTTGCACATTGTGAGTGTATGCAGTGATGACTATTCACATGTCTTTAGCTATACACCTGTGTGACAAGGTTGCAATGATGCAGAACTGTCTTACGCTTACCCTAGTACAATTCAGTCTCCGCTCACAATTACCCACAATGTAAATACTTGTGTGACTTCATACAGCTTTAACATCTCTCTGTACACCTTCGAGAACATTCTAGAATCTGTAACCATCCTTTATAAACTAGCTGTGTAAACTGTCATGAGATCGGTGGGTATTATGCTATCAGTCTATTCAACCCTTTGAAAAGCTGCCACGCTTGATGTTGTTGACTTTTGCAGCAAAAATTTCTCCTCTGTCATATCTACAGGGAGGTGCCACAGCTCTTCACCTGGCAGCTCAACAAGGCAAAGCTGATGTAGTGAGACTACTGACTGAGGCTGGAGCACAGCTGGACATACAGAGAACAGTATGTGCCATTTTAGCCCTCAGTAATGCAGAGAGTATTGGTTTGCTAAGATGACTTGTAGCACGATGCATAGGCATACCAAAGGCACTGCCAATATCGAAATTTATCTTAATGCAGGGGCGTCGAAAGGTTCAGGCAAGTGGTATGGCTCTCTGCGACGTATGTGCGTGTACAAAGGGGCGGGATGAAAGCTGTGCGCGCCGCTTTTATGCGGCCCTAGCTCCGTACAGACCTAGCTGGGTTCCTACACTAGGCCAAGAAGTTAAATTGGTGGCGAGTCCAGGCAAAAGTGGTACGGCTGTCGTCCGACGCCCCAGTAATGTGCCAGCCTTTTGGTGTCTAATGAGTTGATGAGACTTGTAGCTTCATCATGAAAGTTGTACAGTTTATCTTTTACCTTGGCATCTTTTCACTGCCAGTGGTCAAAGGTAACATGCATACATTGAACGAGTATTATTATGTGAAGGGAGATCCTGGAGACAAGGTTTGTTTCCTGAAACACATAATTAAAACAAGCCACGGACACATAAATGTGTTCAGAGCCTCCATAAAAATGGATATGTACTAGGTGCTATACCTTATAAGAAAACATTTTCCTTATTAATTTTAACAAGATACCCAAAGCGTCCAAAGGGTTCATTTTTCTGGTAGTGTGTCCCTGGGAGTTGGGGCTATAGGGCTGGGTATCTGGAATAAGTAGCATACATTGTTATTGGGTAACAATAAGTGTATGGCTAGGGCTACAACTAGGACAATGAATGAGAGGCTGACTATACATGATGGTAGCTGGGCAAGACCTTCAATTGGTACACAGTAGAATACAGTGTTTTGTTTTGCTTATCTGATCTTCTCCGGGATATTAACTAACGTGTTATCCACAATAATTCATACAGACTGGGGCAACTTCTCTCTACATTGCTAGTGAAAAAGGACACAGTGAAGTGGTGAATATCCTACTGAGGAATGGAGCTGGTGTGGATAGAGCTAAGAATGTAAGTCAATCATCAGTCACTGCATGACAATCTTCAATCGTTTACTGTACCATTGAAGTAATTACTTTTGACCTGTTTTGTAATACCACATCTGTAGTTGAATCAAAATCTGGTTATGTGTTTAATTTTTGTAAAGCTGACTATGACGGTACTACCTCTTTTTGTTAGATTCCGATTTTAGTATTTTATTTGACAGTTCTGACATTGAGTATATTTGGTTTTTGATCAAGTCTTCTATTTATCAAGCAATGTCATTGTACGTTCCTAAGGTTCTGCCACATCCCTGTTTAAACTCAGTTGGATCTATAGGGTGTTGGTTACTCAGTGGTGTATTGTAGTCTGAGTATTGGAATGGTGAATGTTTAATACTTCACCTAGGACACAATATACGGATTGTGTGATGGGGTGGGGTGGGGGTGGTGTCAGCATACTCAAATCTGTTCATTAACCATGCTTCATGTATCAATCCCTATATTGTCTCCCTGTTCTTTTAACGATCCCTAATGCCTCTTTTTAATTCGCAGGATTTTTATTACTTGTCTCCATCATTTTTATATACTACTAGTATTATCTGTGGAGGGGCAAGCCCCTATAAAAAATATAATAGAGGAAAAATGCTGTTGTCGTCACGAACTGATATGCATACCAGGTTTCAGCTCAAGTGTGCTGCCGTTAGCAAGTTTGAGGAGGGAGTGAAGAAGTAAGTATTTCAAAGAAAGATGCCTCAGTTGTGGTCGTCATGGGAACGATGTTACACACATGAGTAACCAAGTTTTATCTCATGCGTTGGGGTGCTTACGTTAGCGAGTTATTGAGGAGTGAAGAAGTATTGTAGTAGTATTTAAAGAAACGTGCCTGAGGCTAGTTGTTGTCGGATTTGTGGACGTCATGGGAAAAAGACGTAATAGTAATACACATGCGCCACCACGTCACCTCCATGCGTGCTATAGTTAGCAGTTTTAGGAGGAGTGAAGAAAT